AAGTCTCAAACACCAAAGGCTAGCGGAACAGAGATTACATCAGGGTGGGGGTGGGGGGCGGAGGTAGTGGTGCAGATACATGAGGTGTTTTTACAAGACGTTAAAGGGGCGATATGAGAAACATGAGATCACCTTTGAGCCACCAAGGAAGCTAAGTGCACCTCATCCCAGCAGACCCTTCGAAGACGGGACATGGACAAAGCCACACCATTGAAGACAACATCGTTGCGATGCTGCCAGAGATTCCAGACGGACAACATGACACACAATTCAGGGGGTGATCGCAGCCAACAGAGCGCCAGAAGCGATGGGCGAACAGGTAGCCAAACGTAAGGTGATCAACCATCTCGCTCTTAGCAGGGCGGATCGAACATGTGCAGGCGCCTGCCTTCGATGATGTGCTTTTGGAGCAAGACATCCCTGGTGTGGATGCGGCAATGGATGAGGAGCCAACAGAAGAATCACTCGGGAGGCCGCCTTATTGTCCTAGAGGAAGGTAGCAAAGGGGGCCTCCACACCGCCGAAAAACCGAAGGTGGTAAATTGTGAGGCACTCAACGAGTTATTTTTGTCAATACATTGAGTGAGAATCCTACAGTCCAGAGTCTTGAAGAGGACAACAACGTCGACAATGAGGTGCAACCCGGCTCAGTTAGTTTTTGCAACACTAGTCAGTCGGGGGGTCCACCGAGACATCCTCATCAACAACGTGCGAGAAGAGAGTCAACATGTCCATGCATAGGAATAAGCTGAGTTAGATGACCTCAGAACACGAAAAACGGTTTTTTCATAGAATGAAGATTTGAAAAAGTGAGTTATAGACGTTTCCTTGCAAATATCGTGTCGACGTTAACTATGGGGTTAGGGCATCTCCAACGCGATAGCTCAAAGCGGCCCTAAATGTCTGCTGTGTGCCCCGAACACTTTTTTCATCCAATGGGGTACATCAAACATCCTGGAGTAGTCTGGTTGTTTGAAATCCCATAAATCAAAGACAAATGTTGGGAGGTTTGGGAAAGTTTGCACACACTACACACAGGCCTCAGATGGTACCACAAACCCACTTTCCCATCTTTACCCCTCTCTTTCTCCTTCCTCAATTGGACAAGAGATGGACATTTATTGCACCAGCTTGAAGGGCAGCCCTCCATCCTCTCTCCCTGGACCTTTGATGTGTCCGATTTCAGCGGCATTTCTATATTTTACCCGTGGGCCAACTGACCCAACAACTTTTAAGGAAAGCAACCTAAAACACTGTACACTTAGTGTTTATTATGAACAAAGTTTTTAAAAATTAATAAAACTCTTCATTCGCAATTTTTTTCTTCAAAATTAGCGATGAACCCACAGATTTTTTAGGTTGCCTCTGTTACGGTCCAATTTGATGCAAGGAGTTGGAGATGCCTTTACACGGGTTTCAGCTTAGAAGATATTTCCAGTTTTCGGCCCTGGTGCAGCCCAAGTCCAACCCCGACCATCATCCCTCTCCAGTTTGGGAACCACCATTCCATCTCCTTCCTCTCCTCCCGTGGGCGGCGGCGGCGGCTGCAGATCGGAGCAAGGACGCAGCAAGGTAACTCCATCCATCCATCCATCCCTCCCTCCCCAGGTCCGCGGCCAGGATGGTGGACGCGTGGTGGCCGCTGCTCGCCGCGGCCGTCCCAGCCATCGTGGCCGGCCAGGCCATCCGCGTGAAGCGGCGGCGCGACGAGGAGCAGCGCCTCAAGGCGGCGCGGGGGCGCGAGAAGAGCTCCGACGAGGTCTTCGTCTGCGAGCGCGTCTGCACCTCCAAGCGGATGCTCAAGAAGGTGGGCGCCTTCTCCAAGGACCCCATCCCGGACACCTGCGTCACCGTCTGCGGCGTCTCCGAGCTCGACGCCTGCGCCGACGCCTGCGGGCGCACCGTCTGCGTCAACCAGCACCAGGTGCCCAACTGGAACGACGTCTGCCTCAAGCGCTGCCAGAGCGAGTGCCTCAAGCTCTCCTCCACCGTCATGTAGTAGCCAGTTGCCGCGCCCCTTATCCTGATGCGGTCTGTCCTGCTTCAGTTTACTTTCCTGCCTAGAGACTTCAGACATCTGTGGCTGTCAGTTTATATATCCGCAGCGGAGGATCGGAGAAATCCGAGTGAAATGGGCTTATCCTCGTTGTTATGCTCGGTTCATTCCATCGATTCTTTGAAAAATTGACCTCTGCACATATCTTTTGTCGAGTTGAATCATGGTTTGCTAGCTAGCTAACCTACCATGCCCTGATTTGATAGGCGTAAATGAGGCCCGGTTCGCCCTTTTGGATGAAATATTTGCACTGTTGAAATCCATATGCGTTTGTCTGAATTTGCTGTTGAATTCCATATGCATTTCCCTGAAGTTGCTGACTTAGATATTTATTTGAGCATATTGAGCATTATTTGAGAATGATGCTCACTTATTTAGATTTGATGATGGCCCTGTTGGATGAAATTCTGGCTAGTCGAACCCCATATATGTTGCCAGCAGTTGCATAGCGTTGTGAATCTTTGGACCTCTTTCAAGTTAATTTATTAGGCATTGCACATAGGGAATTTGCGCATAGTGGACGGTTAATGCGTGCTGATACTGTCAAGAAAGGTCGGGTTAGACCAAAGTTGACATGGGAGGAGTCCGTAAAGAGAGATCTGAAGGACTCGGATATCACCAAAGTTTTAGCCATGGGCAGGTGCATGGTGCCAGAACCATGACTTGGTTTTGATATCTTATGGGTTTTAAGTCTAGCCTACCCAACTTGTTTGGGACTGAAAGGCTTTGTTGTTGTTGCTGTTGCACACAGGGAGGCTTGTTGCCCTTTCTAGTGCAGCAGCCAAAGTGATGATCATTTTTCTTCAGCTGAACCATTGCTTTGTTTGACAATATTTTAACAGCTATGAAATGTATTACATGGCTCATTTCTTTTAGCCTTGACAGTGCTATCAGCATATGAGCTTATATATCTGGTATATACCAGTTGTCGCGTTCTTATCCTGATGCAATGTTTAATGCTTCAATTTATTTCTTTACAAACTTCAGACATCTGTGGCTGTTATATCCGGAGAACTGCAATCATGTGAAATGGCTTATCCTGATTGTTATCCTCTGTTCATTTCATTGATTCCTGCAAATTTATTCTCACATTTGTCAGGCTGAATCATGATTTCAAGCTATGCTATGATGTCCTGATTTGCTAGCTGTTAACGAGGTTGGGCAGGCCCTGTTAGAAATGTTGACCAGTTGAATTCCATCTATGTTTGCCATCAGTTGCCGCCTGTGATCTCCCTTTGAGTATGATGCTTATTTCTAAATAGATGATAGGTGTTTTGAAGACTTCACTTCGGTGTGGTGATCTGGTGGATATTGAACTCTGAAAAAACATTTGGGGTCCATATGCCGCCTGTGATATCCCTTTGAGTATGATGCTTATTTCTTCATAGATATCAAGTGTTTTGAAGAATTTTAGAGTTATGATCTTTTAGATCTTTTCAAGTTAAATTTCTTGAGCATTGCATACAGGCAGGTTTGCTTTTGTTCCAAGTGCAGCATCCAAGGTGCATTTTATTTGCTTTAGCTGGACCATTGATTTGTTGACGATATTATAGCAGCTATGGAATGGATTACATGATAGTAACGTGTTTTCTTCAGGTTGGACGCTATTTTACCAAAATGTCGCAAACCTATTGTTTTTTGAAAAGAATATATAAATTGGCCTTTGCATCGATGGACCGGATTGATGTAGGCTGTCATATATCAAAGGGTTTGTTTAGGGCACATCTAGATGTGCTTTAGTCATTGCACATTTAAGTTTTGATAATGTTATTAATTAATAACATAGGACTTAGATGTGTAATACTTAGAGCACATCTAGATGTGCCTTAGCAAAACTGTATCATTAATTAATAATGTCAACCAAAGCTAAATATCGACACCAATTAAACCGGATTACAAAATAAATAGAAATCCAAGGGCCATCCAAATTAGGCCTGCCCACGGCAGTATCGATCTCCACATTCCTTCGAAAAGAGATCGCCAAATGTGATGCTGTTGTTGAAGGATCGACCAGAGGTTGAACTTGTGTCTTTCATGCCCCAAGTCGAGCTTTGAACCAACACCTTGACAGAGGACATGCCTATACATAGCGAACCCTGCTACTACATTCACGCTGTTATACCTCACACGCCCGGTGAGACGTGGAGAAGGCGGAGCCATCTGCTCGTCCATCTGTGAGGTGTTGGTAACTGTCCCTTCATCTAGAGCAATTCGCTCGTTCCGATTCACAAGAGCACGGTACGCAGATTTGACAGAGTAGATGCCACTTCTTTCATGGGCCCAGGTTTGGAAATCATCCCCACCACCCCGTCGTAGTGGGATATTTAGAATTGCATCGGCATCAGGGGCTAAGAAGGTGTCTCGGATTAGCTCCCGTCGCCAAGTCCAATTATCAATAGCCAACTCATCAACAGTACCCAGTGTGGTTTCTGCTGGCATAACCGTTGGGGCAAGGGTGGAAAGGCCGGGTATCCATTGGTCGTTCCAAATGGAGATAGAGCTCCCGTCACCCACCCTCTTAATCAACCCTGTTTGAAGCGCCCCTCTTTCGGCCACTATAGCTCGCCAAATGGCCGAAGCTGATTGCGGAACAATAGCCTCCATGAATTCAGAGTCAGGGAAATAACGTCCCTTCATTACCCGCACACATAGTGAGTTAGGGTTTGTGATGAATCTCCATCCATGTTTGCCCAAAAGCGCAAGATTAAACAGCTCGAGATCGGGAAAACCCATTCCACCATGAATTTTTGGAGATGCAAGTTTCTCCCAAGACAGCCAATGCATAGACCGTCGATCGAGGGATCCACTCCACCAGAATTTTGCCATGCTAGCAGTTAACCCTTTGCATACCTTCTTTGTCAAAAGGAAGCAGCTCATACTGAAAGTTGGGATAGCTTGGATGACTGATTTAATTAGTGACTCTCTTCCAACGCAAGCTAGAAGCCTCTCTGCCCAACCATTCATCTTCCCCTTCAATCGGTCACCTATGTGATCGAAGGTGCCACTGGTGATCCTACCAACTGTAGTCGGTAGTCCAAGGTATCGCTCGCTGAAAGCTTCCACCTGAATCCCTAAGACAAACTTAACAGTCCGCCTTCTGGTGTTCGGCGTATTTGGTGAGAAGAAGACAACACTTTTCTCCCGATTCACTGACTGGCCCGAACATGTTGCATATATGAGTAGAATAGCATTGAGCCTATCAGCACTCTCCTGTGTTGCACTGATGAAAATGAGGCTGTCATCGGCAAAAAGCAGATGGCTCACCCAGGGCGCTCGAAAAGACACTCGTATGCCCCTGTCCACAACACCGCCTCCATAAGAATTCATCAATGAGGTGAGACCTTCTGCACAGAGGAGAAAAAGAAACGGTGACATGGGGCAGCCCTGTCACAGACCCCTAGAGGGATCAAAAAACGGAAGGAGCTCACCATTCACCCTAACTGTGAACCTTACTGAGGAGACACATTTCATTACCAGATTCACAAAATTAACACTGAAGCCGAGCTTGATCATGATTGCCTGTAAGTAATGCCATTCCACTCTATCATAGGCTTTCATCATGTCTAGCTTGACAACACACATATAGTTCTTCCCTTTCTTCCGCCTTCTCATGGTGTGAACACTCTCAAAGGCCACAACCACGTTATCAGTAATCAGGCGGCCGGGAACAAAAGCACTTTGTTCCTCACCCACCACTGTATCCAGTAACTCTTTGAACCGAATAGAAATCATTTTGGCGGCGATTTTATACGGAACTGGACACAAGGAGATGGGACGGTACTTAGATATCGATTGAGGGTTCCTTACCTCTGGTATAAGAGTTATGGAAGTATCATTGAAACCAAATGGTAGTTCTCCCCCATTCAAAAAAACCAAGAATCGCCGGTACTAGATCTCCTTGAATAAGGTCCCAGTGTCGTTGGAAAAAACCCGCAGTAAACCCGTCGACACCCGGGGCTTTGGACGGTGACATCTGAAACAGAGCCGTCCGTACCTCATCATGTTCTAGTGGCGAGTCATCAGGGGAATCCTACCAGATGAAAGCACTCGTCGGCGTCGTCACATTAAAGTTATAAGCAGATGCAATGTCTGCCATGCTATGGATGAGGACTTAATGCATGCACTAATGCATTGCTCACACGCTAAGCTGTTTTGGGAGCAAGCCTTTGCTCTTTTTGGCACTCGAAGGCGCTTGCATCCCAGTACATGGTCTTGTGACATCATTTGTGATGTTCAGTTTTTGGATACTGAGAGGGCTCAAATGATCTCAGTTATGTGGACGATATGGCACTCAAGAAACAGAATCACACATGATGATGATCAGTTGGATCCTTTCTCTTTGGTTCGACGCATCAGAGAGGACCTGGCCTTGTTGGATATCCCACAGGCTCATGCTTCGATACTCCCAGGACATGGTTGGCGACCTCCTGATCCTGGTGTGGTTAAAATTAATACTGATGTGGCACTGGATATGGACTCCGATAAAGTAGGTGCAGGGAGGGTTGCCCGCTCAAGCAACGCTTTGCTGGGTGCATGGAGCAAACCACATGTTGGAGTGACGGATCCATTCATTGGTGAGACCCTGACACTCCGAGACGGTGTTATATTTGCAAATCTACGTGGTTTCACCCATGTGATTATGGAGACGGACTACCTGGAGATTGTTAATCTCTGGAAATATCACCACAATAGTTATTCTGTGATGGCACTTTTACTTCTAGAAGTTGGAGGGCTTGCTTTAGCTTTTGATTTGTTTGATGTTCAACATGTATCCAAAGCGGCCAACGTACCGGCCCATCTTTGTGCAAAGCATGCTGATGATCACCGAGAGTTGGACTGACTCGAGACCTTCCTTTCTGCTCATCAGTTTATTGGCTGATGATGCAAGGAGTTTTTTCGTTCAATAAAAGCTCCCAGGTTTGAACGCAAAAAAAGAGAGAGAG